CGCCCGGCCACCTTTTACAAATTAATAAAGGAGTGCATCTCTTCTCTGGAAGGCTTAGGGAAAAAAAAAAAAGAACTGTGGTAAGGGCCTAAATTTTTCAAAGGCACAGGCATAGCTAAAAATAATGGTATTAACCAGCCACTGTCCCCTAGTTTGCTTTCTTATAATTGCTACTCAGGAGTCACATAGCTGATGGTCATAAAGATTCTTAACTTCCTCCATAGATAACATCACCTTTTTGAAACCTAAGGGTAGCTTTTGAGATATCTTCCAGGCCCTGCATTCCAGTGGATTGGCTGACGCACCCAGACCAATACCAAGAAACTGACTCAGTGGTATTGCTACTCCTACCCAGTAACTGACTCAACATGAGAAGATGATGTCTACCCTCCTATAATTTTGCCCCAAACCTGGCCAATTAGCAGACCCAATTGCCTAATCCTTTACCCACCAAACTATCTTTAAAAATCCTTTCTCCCAAATTCTTGGGGAGATGGATTTGAGAAATTCCGCCCATCTCCTTGCGTGGTGCCCGTGATATTAAACTCTTCGTCTGCTGTAAACCCTGCTGTCTCAGTGCATTGGCTTGCCCTTGAGCAGTGGGCAATGAACCTGGTTGGGCTTTAACAGCATGAGAATGTAAATGTTCTCTTTAGGAAAAAGAGAAACTCTTTTTGCATACAAGGATACCTCTCTGAATAAACTTTGTTTAGACCCTGCTAAGGACAAATCTGCATTGAGCTACTGATGATGCCAGCAGGAAGACTGCAAGATGATGACAACCGGCAGGAGAGAGGATGTGTTTATTTTGGTTTAGGTCTCAAGATGGCAGAGGAATGCCAAAGATTAACCTAATCTTAGGTAAATCTTAATCTTAGGTTCGACTACTAACCTAAAGGATTACTGATCCTGGCATGTGGCCCTTTGCTTCCTCATACAAAGTGGTACGAATTTAGGATGGACCCCAAAATTCTAGAATGGAAGACTGAGGGACAACGCTGGCAAAACCTAGCTAAAGAGAGGAAAAAGGCCTCTGCTTCATTCACAAGAGGTTTACGATCATGGGATTGTAACTCTCACTGTCAACCTTAAAGCAGGTTTAGCTGATTGGGCCTAGATTACATGTTAGTAGTGGTAGTAGGGGTGGCTTCCCTTTTTTTTTTTTTTTTAAGACTAGTCAAGTGCAGTAGTGAGAAGGGGGGAAAGTAGTAGAACAAGGAGTTCAATCTGTAACTGACTGTGAACAATCAAGTGAGATAACTCACTACCTTCGTACAAGCCTAAGTAGGGGTGGCTTTCAAGTCAGCTGTAACAGGATTGGAGGATTCAGCTGAATAGAGGTCCCTTTGTACCAAGTCCAAAATGTGTAGTTAATGTTAAAGTCAGGTCCAACATTACATCACTTTACCTAAACAGTATCTATAGTTCCCAGAAGAGATTGCAAAGCCAAAGCCACATACTAACTCAAGGCAGTCTTATTTGGATATATATACCCAGGCAGTGTACACCACTTTGAGATATGCTATTTGTAAGCCCAAAGAATTCACACACATGTCCTAACCAAGGACTGATTTTCTATGATTTTATTTAACTCAATAGCACTTCTTAGAACAGAAATGCTTTGCTAATCAAGAGTAAGTATAGTGTAGGCCAGGCGCGGTGGCTCA